GACATACTGAGTGTTTCCACTGTAAATTTGTGATATAATTTCAATTGTCACTGCTACATGGCATCCCTTTAATTTTCCCTGTTTGACTCACAGTCTCCACAGTTCTCTTCACGCCCCTCCCCACCCCCACTTTTTCATGAGAGGAACCTTCCTCCTACTTTGATGAGAAAATAGGTGACACATGCTATCATCTCACCTTTCCCTACTCCATGCCTCAAAAATCCCATTATCTTTGCCTCTACTTCAGTCTCTGAGGAAAAGGTGGTCCTGTTCTTTGCCAAGGCCAACCTGATCTACAACTCAACTGAAACGGTCTTCTAGCTATTCCATCTCCCATTTGCATCATCTCATGTTGCCCCAGCCCCATCCCTAGAAAACACTGCCTCCTCTCCTCAGCCTCTCAAAATCCCTTCCTCAGCTGGGAAATCAGGGATAATATGGCTGCCATCTCCTATGCAAATCCTTTTCTCATATTCCCAGGTGTTAGCTCTCTTTCTTCAAGTTATCTTTATTTGCTTAGTAAAGTACCTTCCACACTGTATATGCTTAATAAATGTTTGTTTTGAACTGAAAGCAAAATAGACAATATGAAGTGCTGAGCAAGTCTTTTTTTTTTTTTGTCTTATCTATCTGGGTTGCAAAAGATGAAAGATATTACTTCAGAACTGAAATAATGGACTACATCTATGTACATTCTATTCATCCATTCCATTCCTAGCTGTGTCATTTTTCAATTTTACAAGACCTTTTTGTAGCAAAGAATAGTTTTTTCCTTTTGAATGGCTCAACATCTTGGTGTAGTAGGAATTTCTCTGAACTTAAATCACAGCTCTGTCTCTAGCTGTGTGCTATTAGGCAAGTACTTAGCTTCTCTAAATTTGGATTTCTTAATCTGAAAAATGGAACTCATTCTACTTGTACTGCTTTCCTCTATGGGGTTGTTGCGAGGATTAGATATGAGAATGTCTATAAAGTGCTCATGAAACCATTTCCTGACTCTGTGGGATCTCAAGCAACTCCCATTTTCCTCAGAACTTCCAACTAGGTGCAGTACTTTTTTATTAGTCTTTCCATGGCTAGGCTAGCTCAACTCTTTGCTCTACTCTGTGTGCTCACTACTCATGCAGCTAGAAGAGATTACTCCTCCATATTCTTGGCAGGACTACCCCTCCAAGAAATTTAAAAAAAAAAAAGAAGAAAGAATCAGCTGCTTAGCTAGGGAACTTTCTGTGTAATCAATAATTGTGCAAGCATCTGCACCTTTGCCTATTAGACTACAATTTACTATTATGTTCTAGGTAGAATAAAGGATAGAGTACTAGACTGGGAATCAGGAAAGACCTGAGTTCAAATCTGGATTCAGACACATACTAGCTGCATGACTCTGGGCAAGTGGCTTAAATTCTGTTTTCAGTTTCTTCAGTTGTAAAATAGAGATAATAATAACAGTTATTTTGAAGATTAAATAGGATAATATTTGTAAAACATGTGTAAAATGCTTGATACAGTGCCAGGTACATAAAAGGCACTTAATAAATGCTTGTTTCCATTCTTCCCCCTTTTCTGCTTCCCTCCCTCCTTCCTTCTTCCTTCTCAAATCCTTTTGTTTATATTGGAGAAATCCAATTTAAAAAGTCCTATATATGGCATGCAAATTCCTTGTAGGTAACTCTGTGTTGTGCTATCTCCCTCCCCTCATCTTGTATTCTTATATTCATTATATGTGCTTAAACTGTAATTTGTATTAGAATTATCTATGTACATGTCTTGTCTCTCCCTAGTAGATTCAACTCAAGGTCAGGGACCCTGTATTATTTAATTTTATGTCTTCCATGGTATCTAGAACAGTGTACTGCACATAGTAGGCATGTAAACATTTTTTTCAAATGCAAGAATGAATGATAATAAGAACATTATTGGGCTTCAGAAGCTTGAGATGAAAGAGAGCTGAATCTCAGCCTTTACGGTAAGTCAGTAAGTTCAAAAGAGGATACTGAGCCCATGAATAAAAAAGAGAAAAGTTTAATGCTTATCCCTTTGAACCTTCAAAGAATTTTTGGATCCGGGATTTTCAGTTATTTTATTTTACTTATTTTATTTTATTTATTTATTTATTTTTGGTGAGGGATCTTCAGTTCTTTGGGAGTTCAGGTAAAGCTTTTATTTGGCATGGATATTGCTGGATGAAGTTACCAAATATTGAGGGAGTCTGTGAAGAGGGAAATCGCTTCACTACCTACTTCTATCCTTTTATGACAAGGGATGGTGTGGACCATCTTCTACTCTGGGAAGGGCATAAAGAAAAAGGCAAGAAGGAGGCACTTTGCTTTTATTTCTGTGCCTCTAGTTCTCTCCCTCTTAGCGCCTGGGCTGGCAGTGACCCTTGTCTCAGCTCTGTCTGCCATCTGACTCTATGGTCTGAGGAAGACTTGAACACTAAATAACCACCTTGTAATATACTTTGCCATCTGGTCAGGAACCAGTTATGGTGGCAACCACCTTATATATGGGGAGCCAGTGCTATGGATCTCAAAGCCCAAGTATCATTCCTTTGAACCTATTCAGTGGAAATATAAGGTACCACCTTACTCATATATTCTTTTCACATGCATAATTTTATGAATGTGATTTGTGTAATCTTTGGTTTATTAGTTCTAAAAATGGAATCTCATTTATCTGGCAACCTCAATCATCCTTTATCCAGCTGGGCATCTTAAAGTATAGGAGAAAAAAATACATGTGTATATATATATATGTGTGTGTGTATACACACACACACACACACATATACACATACATATACATGTGTACATAAAGTATGCTTTACTCATAGCTCAGCTCTCCTCAGGACTTGTCAGATCTTTTACAAATTCTTAATTTATACACAATTTAAACAAGCTTAGCTATCTGGTTCTCGGTTTATAACTCAATAATTATCATGAGGTCAGCTCTTGAGAAATAGTTTTTCTGTCCTTAGTCTTAGCTAACACTTGTTGCTGCAGTCAGCATACTTATCTTTAGCAATTCTCACCCCCTCAAATTATTTGCTGTTTCTCCTATCTTCACAGGTTCATAGACTGAATTGGAAGAGAACTTTGAGATCATCTATTCCAACCCCCGTCATTTCACAGATGTGGAAACTGAGGCCAGAGATGTTAAGTGAGTTCCCAAAGATAACATAGACAATAATATCCTGATCAGGATTCAAACACAGGTCCATTGACTATAAATTCAGTGTTCTTTCCACTGTCACACTGCAGAAAGCATGGTAAAATTTAATGTAACGTCCTAAACCTTCTGAAAGTTCCCTGTTAAAACTGAAGGTATGGCATCTATCTGCTGCTTCCCTTCCAACCTTAACCATATATAAACATTTTTCCAGTGGGGGATGGCGGTGGGGGTAGGGTGGGGGGACTGCTGCTTACACTCCACAATTCTCTTTCTTTGGTATCCCCTTTTGGCCTCAGAAATTCCTTCTTTTTTCCTATGATGGGGCAGGTCATTTCAGCTGGGAGCATAGTAAGACCAATATGTTTTGACATTTGCAAAGATTGGCCACCCAGAAAATAAAATCAATATCGTTACATTGAGGAGGGGAAAAGTCTATTTGCTTGGGGCGTTTGCAGTGGAAATTGAGCGAAAAGTGAACAAAAGATCTCTAAATCTGCCCTTCTCCTCTTGAAGTAAAAAAAAAAAATTAGCTTTTTCATTGGAACTAAGTAAATGAAGCAATTTTGAGGAAGACCCCTTCTGGGGGCACAAAAACAGCTCAATTTTACAGGACCATTCATTATCTGCTTTAATGAGATTTTTAGGTGGAGATCCAAGCTTGAGATCAATCTGACAACAATCTCCACGTGGAACTGGCATATTTTTGACAGGACAAATTTTTCTGGGTAACTGGGCCATGGATATTCATTTAAACACACTAAATATTTGTGAATAAATATTTTTATTTGACATTGATATTTGACTATTATCATTCATCAGTAAATCACATCATGTAAAAAAAACGTTCGGGGCAGCTAGGTGGCACAGTGGATAGAGCACTGGCCCTGAAGTCAGGAGGACCTGAGTTCAAATCCAGCCTCAGACCAAACACTTGACACTTACTAGCTGTGTGACCCTGGCAAGTCACTTAGCCCCATTTGCCTAGAAAAAAAAAAAACCCACAAAAATCATCTTCATTGAATTTGAGGGCAGAACTGTATGGTCTTCACGTGGCTCTTGTCAAGACGCTCCAGTAGGCAGGCCCGTTGCTCTTGCCATTGTCCCTTCTGAACTGAAAGAGGCCAAGTGCTAGCACCTGCAGCAGAAAGCTAATGGTCCCATTTCTTAGAACAATTAAGGGGCTATATATTCCTATCACAAAATAAGTTGAAGTTGTTGTTTGGGCATCAAGGCCATGGAAGATAAGGAAATAAGTATAGTCTCCTTACAGAAGAAACTTGAGCAACTTTCTAATACACCAGGCTTGGGATCTGAGATGGGTGTCCAAGACATGATCACAACCTGTATTTGCTCAAATATTCCTTAAGAGTTCCTTAGAAATTGGACAGAGCTTTTCGTTTATGGGCCAAAATTGTTCCTTAGAGGGTGACAAGAGTTCCCTCTTCTATATCCTCCCCTACCTCCCCCCGCCTTTTTTGTGCCCATTCATTTGTAGAGTTTAGGTACTAACTGTGATTTTAATCTTTTGAACAGAATCTCTAATAGGACAATGTATATCCACAGGTTAAAAAGCTGGATTTGGGCAAGCAATGATCAAAGTTAGTAGGATGGTCCCCTAACGTAAAATTATTTCTTTGGTAACATTTCTGAATACTTTTTCTTCTTGCCAATAACTTGGAGAATTAATTCTGATTTAATTCTCAGTTGTGGCTGACTCTGACCTCATCTGGAGGCTTCTTAGCAAAGATACTGGAGTGGTTTGACATTTTCTTCTCCAGCTCTTTTTACAGATGGGTAAATGGAGACAAACAGGGTGAAGTAACTTGCCTAGGGTCACATAGGCAGTAAATGTCTGAGGCCAGATTTGGACTCAGGAAGGTGAGTTTTCCTGACTCGAGGCCCGGCACTGTATGTGCACCTAGCTGGCCATTCTGATTTAATACATTAGGTCATTAAATTTTGGCCATTTTCACGGATAGTAATAAGGATGAAAATGATAGTAATGAGCACTTATCAGTGATTTGAATAGAATAAAATAATAGGTTTTTGCAAGAAGCATAGAGTGAATTACAAAGCTTTGCTCTTAAGACCTTGTAACACAGTCCAACGCGATAAGTGGACAGCAGACAACAGTAATGTCCTTTGGTGGAGGCTTGGGGGTAGGACCTGAAAATTTCCTGAGGAACATATTAGCAGCTTCAAAGGGATGACTTATTGGGAGGATAAGGAGAAGGGTTTGGTGAATTTTGCTGTGAATAATCAGATCTGAAATTTTAGAAAGGACTGATCCAAATTCATGTTTTAAATAAATTAATTGATTTTGATAACATTAATTAGCCATTAATTTTTCCCTTCATTTAAAAAAATTAGCATCTCTCCTTTAAAATGTTATATCCTAAATTGCATGAAAACAATTATTTAAAAAAAAACTAGCCCCCCTTCCACTTCATGACATATAACTATTCTAATCCAGATGTATTCCTCCTGTTTTTCAGTCATAAACAGATTAGGTAAGGCAGGGGTGGATTTTGAAGTGAAATTCTCTGGGTTCATCTTTGATGCCCATGGTCCAGATGAGTGGATGATCTGTTTCCACAGTCACAACTCCAGAGCCATCATAGGTGTTTGAAGTGCTGACTAGGGTTCCAAACCTGAGCACACCATTAGCTGTGAGGAAAGGATGAAAAGGAAACGAGTTAAGCATAAACAGCTCATATTTCTATATCTTTTTTACATACATTCTCTCTCATTTAATCATCCTTACCATTTGGTTGTTCAGTTGTTTCCTGACCCTATCACTTCCCTATACTATCTTTTATCCACCTGTCCTTTCCACTCACACTGCCTAAGTATCAGGGAGGTCTTGAAATTGTGAACCTGAGATGGAGGAAAGATGGCACTATCACAAGAAACAGGGCAGTTTACAGCAGGGGAAGGTTTAGGAGAAGGATGCCAAGTTCCATCTTGGACATGTTAAGTGTGATTAGCCTACATGTCAACTAGATGTAAATGTTGAATAGAAAGTTGAGGATGACTGGAATTCAGGGCAGATTCTAGAGCTGGATACATACATCCGGTGATCAGCCCAAGGCCCCTTTAAAGAACATTTTTATTGCAAACTTCACAAAGCCATAAAGAAGCCTCACAAATAATTTTTAAAATTTCAATCTATTAAAATCCTCTTGGGTCTTTCCCTATATTTACTTAGCAGTGTCATGTAGGTCATATCTTGATTAGTATCTGCACCAATTACCTTAAAAGCACAGAACTAATAACCCAGTCCCCTACTTTTTTTTTTCTTTTAAATGAGTGGTTTTAGCCCTACTGCAGGAGAAAATTAGCTAGAGCCTAGATCTAGGACTCAAATGACTCCAATGTTAACAGTGCTGCAGTATTCCTTGGATTAGCTATTGTGAAGTGGCCCTCTGGTGGTGCCGTGGATAAAGGCTGGGCATGTAGTCAGGAAGACTCATCTTCCTGAGTTCAAATCTAACTTCAGACAATTGTTAGCTGGGTAAGCCACTTAACACTGTTTGCCTAAATCCACTGAAGAAGGAAATGGCAAACCACTCCAGTATCTTTGCTAAGAAAACCCCATGGACAATATGGTCCATGGTGTCATAAAGAGTCATACATGAATGAACAAGCTCCATAGTGGAATAACAAAAAGAAAGGAAACATATACTTATTAAGTGTTTTTTATAACCAAATAATAGGGGAGTAATTATACACTAAGCCTGCTCTGGGTGCTAATGAGAAGTTAAACTGACCTTAAGATGTTATTTGTTAACTCAGAGGCAGATAAGCATTCTGCGATCTTCCTTTCACACTGCTGACTTACATTATTAGGTTTGGATTACTTTCTTCTCAAACCTGTGACAATTCCTACCGATGATTTTAAGTGTAAAATTTTTTGTTTAAATCAGTTTGGAGTTTTATAGTTTGATACAGATGATTAGGTCAGTCAATAAATGGTAAGGGGGCAGTTAGGTAGCACAGTGGATAGAGTCAGGAGGACCTGAGTTCAAATATGCCCTCAGACACATAACAGTCACTAGCTGTGTGACTCTGGGCAAGTCACTTAACCCCAATAGCTTCACCAAAAAAAAAAAAGAAAAAAAAAAGGTAAGAAGGAGACAAAGGTTTGAGGGTCCATTAGCTTTGCTCTAATCCACTGCAATAGGTAGTATAGTATCCCTCAAAAGCTAATGTAATGTTAGGTTGCATAAAGAAGGGATAAAAAGATGTGGGGAGAGAAGGGTGTGTGTATGTGGTGACAGTCCTTTTTCACTTTTGCCCTGCTCAGATTGCATCTGGATTGTAACGTTCAGTCGCGGGTACCACATTCAGGAGAGACACAAATAGCAAGGCATTTGGGATGGTGAAGGGCCTGGGGAATAATGTCATATGAAGAATGGGGGATATTTAGCTTGGAGAAGAAAAGACATGGGAGAAAGGGTAGCAGGTGGTGGTTATCTTTAAACATTTGAAGAGCTGTCCTGTGAAAAAGGGATTAGATTTGTTCTGCTAGACTCCAAGGGTCAAACCAAGTAATGAATGCCGCTTATGCAGCAATAGAGAGGAAGACCTTGCTATGTGGTAAAGTGGCTGAGAGCGCTTGACTCAGAGTCAGGAAGATCTGAATTCAAATTTACTCTCAGATTAAAAGCTTTGTGAATCTGGGCAAGTCACACGATAACCTATCAGCTTCATTTGGCTCATTTGTAAAATGGAGATCCTGACAATGTCTACCTCAAACTTCCTAGCAATAAAAACGGTCCAAAGATGAAAGGGGCTGCCTGCAAAAGTACTGGGTCAAACCTCAATTTTTTGTTGTTGTTTAGTTGTTTCCAACTCTGTGACCCCATTTGGGGCTTTCTTGGCAAAGATACTGGAGTGGTTTTGGAGTGGTTTGCCATTTCCTTCTCCAGCTCATTGACAGATGAGGAAACTGAGGCAAACAGGGTTAAATGACTTGCCCAGGATCAAACAGCTAGTAAGTGTCTGAGGCCAGATGTCAACGCAGAAAAAGGAGTCTTCCTGAATCCAGACCTGGCACTCTATCCATGAGAGGTGATCAAGCAAAAATTTGTAGAGCAAATTCCTGGCTGGGCATAGGTCAGACTAGATGTCCTACCCTTCCAAGTCATATCTTCTGTGAGTATGATGTTAAAGCAATTTGCTGAAGGTCATAAACCTAGTTCACAGCAGGATAACCCCAGCCATCAAAATCTCTGGGAGAAGGGATAATAATATCTGATGTTTGAGATTATACATGGGAAAAGCACTTTGCAAACATATTGAGGCATATAGAAATTGCACCTTAGGGTATAAAAAGCACTTTGCAAACACAATCTCATCAGATTGTCATAATACACTTGTGAGGAAAATACAATAAATATTCTTATCTCCCTTTTACAGAAAGGGAAACTGAGGTTCACAAGGCTTAATTAACCTGCTCATAGTCACCAAAAGCTAATCTTGAATCCAAGTATTCCCTGCATTCAATATCCAGTCATCTTTCCATTATAGATACTTAAGTTCTTTATATTCCCTTCTTCTGCTCCTCAATTATTTTTTCCACACTCTTCTGAGAGTTAAAGTCCTCCCATCCCAGGCCACCTCTTCTTTTTTCAATTTTAGTGCCTCTCCTAGGAAGGAAGGAAAGTTAACACTTGCAAGTCCTCTTGAAGCTATACTTTTATATGTTCCTAGGCATATATTATAAATAATATAAATTGTACTAAAAATTGTCAACATTCTTCACCCCCTACAATTTTCTACCATAACTCTGAGATTTCAGTTAACTGATTTGAAAAGTTAAAGTAAAAGAACCTCTTTGACGTCTAAATTTCAATCTTTGAACTAGTTGGTGAAATAGAAGTCTCACCTTTTCATCTTGTAACTATGTAACCAGTATTAATTCTCTTATTAGCTAGTTAAATGCCTGTGAACCTGGGGTACTGGTGAGAGCACTGGGTACTGATATTATAAAACTTAGATCTGCTACATACTATCTGCATGACCTAAGGCAAGTCATTCTCCGCCTCAGTTTCCCTATCTGTTTTCTTCCAGCTCTAAATCCTAAACCTGTACTTTTAACTAGTTGACAACTTATTTCTTCTATCTGGGCCATGGCATCAGCATGTTACTTTGATGACAGCACTTTATTAAAGACTGTATCACATTGAGTTTTGGGTGCCATATTTCATTTAGAAAGAAAAAAACTGGAGAATTCCTAAAGGGATTTAACTAGGATGGTATGGAGATTCAAAACTATGCCTTTGAAACATTGCTTGAAGGAAGCAGAAAGGATGGTTAGCCTGGAGAAGAGAAAACCTAGGAGAAACAGGATCACAAACTTCAAATGTTTGATGGCTAGTCTTATGAAAGGTTTAAACTTGCTATAGGCCCCAGAGAATAGAACTAGGACCACTGAATAGAATTTATGGGAAGACAAATTTCAGCCACAAATAAAGAAAAGCTTCATGGAAATATGAATTGTCAATGAAAGAAAGAAAAAGAAAAAAGGAAATATGAATTACCCACCCATCCTTGGAGGTCTCTAGTCACAGTCAGACCATTTGTCATTGATTGTAGAGGATTTTCATGCTTCAGGCAAGGTTTAAACTAGATGATTTTTGTGGCCCCTAGCACCTTTGACATGTTTATTAATCTCACAACTTAATATCAGTCAGCTTGGAAGGCCATGGTGAGATATTCACAACCACTAGAAACCTCCCTACATTTAAATGTTTTAATAATTAATTGGTTGGTTCTCATTGTCCGGTTGTACTTGTTTGGTTTATGGCTACAGGTTATAAACTCTTATAACTATGTCTTGCTGTAATGACAAAGAAAAAAATAAATCATCTCCTATATAGCATGAAAGCTTGTTACCCCTTAATTAGAATAGTGAATTGCACAAAGTAGATGCTCAATAAATGTGTACTGAATAAATTCTTAGGTGGTACAATAGATACTTTGTTGGACCTTGGGGTCAGGAAGACACTACAGTTAGCCCGTCCACTTTGCAATTTTTCCCGTTGAGGTTTCAGTATAACTTGGGTTGGCATAAGAAATTAAATGGAATTTTTTGGGGAGTTTTGCAGAAGCCTTAAGTGAAATGCAAAGGTCAGCAGACAACACAGAAAAAGTTTATAAACTCAGAAATACACAAAATATATGTAGAGTATTGTATAATATCAACATATTTTATCTTTTAATACCATAATAATTCAGATTTCTCTGGTATGAAGGGAGTGTCAAAAAACCTTACGTGGATTTTTTAGACTGAGGGGGACTGAGGGATAACTGCAGTAGTGTAACCCAGGACAAATCATTTAATCTCTGTAGATCTCAGTTTCTTCATCTGCAAATCAAAGTTGATGTACTAATTAATTGGCCTCTCAGATCCCTTCCAGCTCTAAATCTGTGATTCTGTTATAAAGAAGTAGTATAGTGTAATAGAAAGGACAATGAACTCAGAGTGTGAGGCTATAGGTTCTGTTCCTGATTTTCCTTCCTAGTGCCTGGTTGAAACTGAGGAAGTAACAACCTTACTGAAACTCAGTTTTCTTATTTATAAAATGAGAGGATTAGAACAAATGAGCTCTAATGTCTTTTCCAACTTTTAAATCTTACAGTATTACAAAAGTAAAGCTGAT